TTTATTAGTGCTGCTGGGCACACAACCACCTCCACAGTTACACCCCGCTGGTGTGCTTATGGCCAAGTTCTGAACAAGCTGAAGGAAAAAGCAGCTTTAGTGGCCTCTGTCCCCACTGGAGCTCCAGCACTCTGCTTTAGCTCCTTAGGAGGTGCAAGGTGGGAGTAGCTCCACCTGGTGTACCAACAAATAACTGATGGTACTACTCAACTATTTTACTTGCTGCTGCAGCATTAAACCTTCAGGGTGTGGTGTAGAACAGCAACAGTTAAAATAATCTTCTGAGAACAAGCAAATGAAATAAAAGCCAGAGTACAGTGGAGATAGTGAAGTCTCCATCCTGAAAGAAGTATAATAATCATGTTAACATAAACTAACAGCTTCTTATGGAAGCCTTATTATCTTCTATTTTTCAAAAGCCTACTGCCATACAGAACCAAATTACAGTGCCAAGAAAAGCCCAAAGCCACTCTGAGTTGCAGGAGTCACCCATCTTTACCAGCACCATAATTTTTTTTTTTTTTAGTGTAAATTCGTGGATATTTCCTTACAAGTATCTTTACTCCAGTGAAACAAAGCTTCAAGTTCTCATCCTAGAAGCATGATAATTCCTAATTTCATATATTTTTCATCTCTATAGAGAACATGATAATTCATATATATATATTCCTCTCTATAGAACATGATAATTCCTAGAACATGATAATTCCTAACTTCATATAATTCCTAATTTCATATAATACTTTTCATATATATATATGTATATATGTATATGTATGTTCTGGCCCATTTTGACAAAAAAAATTAAAAAAAAAACCACCCCAAAAGGTTAGAAATAACTATTTATTACGAAAATAATGTAAAAAAACAATATGTCTGATCCTTGAACCAAAGTATATCACAAAGAATTTATTCTCTAGAAAACAAGGAAAAGTGCACTGTAGTGTGTAAATTTACTTAAGTTGGTGTACTACACTTTTTAGTCTATATATTAATAATCTTCAAAAGTCTTCCTGAATATCCTTCAGTGCATGTGTAAGTCGTCTTATCTTATTTTCCATGGCTTTTTTATGGTTTGCCGTTTCCTGCAGAAGCTGCCGCATTTCGTCTTCAACATAGTAAACCTGAAAGAGCACACAGAGATCAAGTAGAATTTTTGCTTTTTCTTAATATGCGTAAACCCACATAATCTCGGCAATTTTTAACACTGATAAGCAATGCAAGACTTATATGCTTATGTTTAAATAGTCAATGCACTACTTTTGACAGTAGCAGAATTTTGTTTTAAAAAAAACACCCCATATTGATTGCCAGGAGATAACAAGTAATGTATTAAAATCAAAGCAGCTACTACACAGAAAAAATACGAGATGAATTAAATGGATTATCTGGCATATTCATCATTATCCTTGCCTGTATAGATAAGGAAGTGTTTAGCTATCAATGTGTAACAGCTACATAGCATGCTACCTTCCTTTGGTTAAGTACAGAACCCCAGGAAGGTACAGTCCTAGAAATCTTCTTGCTCTGCAAAGACTGAGTAGTAAACCAAGGCTAATCTGGACATCAGCCAGTTTGGTACAAACCGGCGACTTCCAAGCAACCCAGGAGTTGTAGTTGCTGTAGAAGAAAAATGCAAATACAGTTAACATATAAATTAGTGTTAAAATTACTTTTTCATTTGCTGCTTCGATTTGTTTTTCCTTTTCATTTGCCAGCTGCAATAGTTCTTCCTGATGAGCCTCCAGCATTGACTGAAGTTGTTTTCTATAAGCGTCATCCATTTCCTGAAGCTTTTCCACAGCAATCCTAAAAAAATGATTAAAAAAAGAACAGTAAGTCACAGTCCTGCCAAAAACTGAAGTATTTTGCTTTGCCCAGTTCTGCCTTCAGTAAGGTTTTAGTAGCACAGACATAAAAACAATTATTTCAGTGTCTAGCAGCAGAAGATGCCCTGATTTTTTCAAGCACAGGTTCTATTTCTATGAGCCACATTTAGGGCTTCTGACATTCCCCTTAGCAGCAGCATTTGATCATAAGCAAAGAAAACCAAGATTTGGACTTGCTACTATCAACGTGGACAACTTCACCTGCATTCAAACATCTACTACTTACGCTTTGCTTCCCAAGAAGTGAGTGACTGAACTACACAATCCTGTAAGCTTGTGTCTTACAGGAAAAGTGCTTCAGAGTAGTGAAGCATTTCCTATACTCCAAGCAAATTCTGCTTTTAGGGGATAATTCTAAAATAAATAGCAACAGAAAGCAATGCAAGTTATTCCACTATACTGTTAAATGACACCAAAATTGTGAAACAAAAAAAATATATGGGACAAAATTCCAGTTTCACTGCCTATCTTCCAACAACTTCAAAATCGAGTACTACTGACTATTTGAGGTGATTTTAAAAAAAATCTAGTTATGGTTTGTTTGTGGTTTTTTGTTGTTTTTTATTTTTACAATCAACCTTGACCATCAGTGTATTTCTCTCATTTATTAATCAGATGACTTTCCTTAAAATAATAGTGAAGTGATTAATCAAAGTTTTAATTTAAAAATGTAAAGCAAAAAAACCTTAGTCATGCTAGCTTATTCCTTCAGTAACAATGTGGTTATGACTGCTAGAAAAATACACCTTCTTATTAACTAGCTAATCTTTTCTTAAGAACGGTTAGATGGAAGGAAGAAAAATAAGAGAAAGGGGCCAAAGAATAAAGTAAAAGACATACTAACAATCTAAGCTCATCACAGGCAATAGTCTACCATGCCAGAAGCATATGAAGTAACTGAGCAACACTGAAGTCCCCGACTATTTTCTGGGTTATGAGTATTTGTTTCTGTATCATTTCAGATTTACTACTGACTGCTCAAGAAATTGACAGTACAAGGGGAACACTAAAAGAAATTAAAAACCTGTTGCTACTTGTTTGGGAAGAAAATTACTAGTAACTTATAAACAGCGTGTTTGGCACAGACCAAAATATTTTTTAGTATTGTTCTGCTAAGTACTGAGGACCTGCCCTCAATCAGGTATTTTCATCATCCTGCACAGACATCAGTGAAGCACTCTGGCCTCTCCCGGAAGCCCAAACGCAAGCCACAGTTGCTTGGCTTGATCTAGAATTTGCAGCCAATTTGTCCCATGCATCGTGGTCAGGAGCTAGAAGGGTGACAGGCTCATGCTCAAAGAAACCCTGCTCCAGGCTGTGAGACTGGGCCTCACAGTCCCTGCCTGACTCCAGCCAGCACTGTGTTACCAATACAGGCTGGGGGATGATGTGCTAGAGAGCAGCCCTGCAGAAAAGGACTTGGGAGTACTGGTGGGAAAAAAGCTGGACATGAGCCACCCAATTTCAGCTGAGTAGTTTATTTCTTGAGTCCCTGTTTGAGCCCCACGTTGGGTGTCATTTCTGGCAGGCTGAAAGGCATGGGCTCAACTCTTAAGAGAAGCTACGACAAAGTTTATTAGCGAGAAACACTGTTTATGGGTTTCAAGCAGGAGACCAGACTATGCATCCAGGGTTGTTATTCGCTCATATACTCCTTCAATTACCCTCGTATCACACAGGGAGAATAGATGTTCCCAGGTCTGTTTTGAACATACTCTCCCATTCACATCTTCTGTTCAAGATGCGTCTTATCAGTACCCTCTCACGAACGACTCCCAACACGAGCTATACTCGGCTGGTCACAGTCCCTCTTCATTATAAGCAAGTAAGAGTTATGTACTTGTTTAGTAAAGAGGTCAAGGATTAAAGTCTTAATTTTGCAACACACCACTGCCAGTACAGCTGGCTGTGATATGTAGGGTATCCGCACCCAATGCACACTTGCAGCCCAGAAGGCCAATCACATCCTGGGCTGCATCAAAAGTGTGGTCAGAAGATTAAGAGAGGTGATCCTCTCCCTCTACTCAGCTCTTTTGAGACCCGACCTGGAGTACTGCATTCAGCTGTGGAGCCCTCAATACCAGAAAGATGTGGACTTGTTAGAATGGGTCCAGAGGAGGGCCGCAAAAAATGATCAGAGGGCTGGAGCACCTCTCCTACAACAGGCTGAGAGAGTTGGGGTTGTTCAGTCTGGAGAAGAGAAGGTTCCGAGGAGACTTTATAGCAGTCGTCCAGTACCTGAAGGGGCCTACAGGGAAGCTGGGGAGGGCCTGTTTACAAGGGCATGTAGCGACAGGATGAGGGGCAATGGTTTTAAACTAGCGCAGGGTAGGTTTAGACTAGATATCAGAAAGAAGTGCTTTACAGTGAGAGTGGTGAAATACTGGAACAGGTCACCCAGAGAGGTGGTGGAGGGCCCATCCCTGGAGGCATTCAAGGTCAGGCTTGACAGAGCTCTGAGCAATTTGATCTAGTTAAAGCTGTCCCTGCTCACTGAAGGGGGTTTGGACGAGGTGACCTTTAAAGGTCCATTCCAGCCAACACATTCTATGATTGTACAACTGTAGGAGAGTCCTTATCATACAAACGTAACACGGAGTTTCCTCACAGAGGTAAGCCAAAAGCACTGCAGTGGAATGGGCATGCTAGGGAAGAAAGACTGTACGCTCCAATTATTTTCAAGAGGAATAAGAACATACCTAAGGAGTTTAAAGGATGAATCATAGAATGGCCTAGGCTGGAAGGGACCTTAGTGATCATTTAATCCAACCTCCCTGTCATGGGCAGGGACGCCTCTCAACTAGATCAGGCAACACATGGGGACAGAACAGGAATCGAACCAGCGACCTTGGTGTTATCAGCACCATGCTCAACCAACTGAGCTAACCAGCCCCCTTGAATGCTGTGACTGAATGCTAGTTCCACAAAAGTAAGTCACACGTACAGCAAGAATTACTTCTAGGCACACAGAGTTTGAAGCAACTAGGCCCACCAAGTACTTGAAAAGGTACTAAACACATTCTTTCATCATACAATCAAACATCTGTGTACACTTATTAACGGTGTAACTCTATAATAACTGGGCAGTCATAAAAAAAGCTGTTAAGGTGTTCACCTCTGAGTTTGAAGACTTTTATTTCTCTCCTCAATCAGCTTCTTCTCTTTGATATCGAAACTCTCCTTCATTTGTTTAACCTGCACCTCCAGGTGACTTATTAGCTCTCCTTTACCTTGCCACTTCTTTTTCAGTGCACTGAAAACAAAATGCACATATTTACAACGAATGTAGATACCAGTTCTTGAGGAAAAAAAGTTTTCATACTTCCATTTTTCCACATTTCTGTGTGTTTTGATATCAAGCAAGTACCCTCTGAACACAGTATGCAACACTGAAATTACTCTGTTACAATACCAAAGAATTATTGCCACTGGTATGGATCACCTGTGTGCATTCTTAATGTCATCAAGTTCCACTTCTTTTTCTTCTAGCAGTTGCTTTAATTCTTCTTTTCTTTTATTTTGCCTTTCTAATTTTTCCATTAGCTCTTCAAATTCAGCAGTTTTTTCATCTAACTGTACTTGAAAAGATTTCTGAGCTTCCCGACTTTCTTCATGCTGCTTTCTGATTTGTTTATCTTTTTCTTGTAAGCCCTTTAGAAGACAAATATTTTAGAACAAACTCCATTTTAACTTTATTATTTTAACTTTATTATTACACTTCAAGAGAATCTGTTTAGTCTATGCTGAAATAAAGCAGAGTTGGACATGTGAAAGTTTATTCTTCTGCAAGTATTATCTGAAAAATACTTAGTAAAGTAACAGCTTCTCAAAGAAGTCAGAATTTAAAAAACCACATCAAACCATATATCTGAAATTGAAAGTAAGTTAAGGAAAAAATTATTTAGAACTCTAAACCAACAACTTATTCTACATACAGTATCACTGAGCTCACATTCTGTTATGTGGCTGTATCACTTTAAGAGCGAAGCACCTGACTTTGATATAATGCGCTACAAAACTTTGCTCTGATTAATAAGCTGAAGTCTTAAGTCTCTAAATGAGATGAATGGAACTAATAAAACATAGTAACTTGTTAAAATACTGATTTACAAGAACAGAAGAAAACAATATTTACATTGTAAAATAAACCTGAGGCAAAACTTTTAAGTTTACCCCCCTTCTTTTCTTTTAAGCACACAGGAAAAAGTATGCTACACTAGATTTTCCCCTCTCAAAATCAGTATGAAGCATAACTTTAAGCACAGCAAAGACAAAGTTTACATAAATATGGTTCAATGAGAGATTCCAAGTAGCATCTGTGTACATCAAGTTAATACAAGGCCCTCTCCTCCCAGTAAAATCATCTGCCACTAACAGCCTGACTTCTTTCTGACTTGGTAACCTAGGAGTGCAGAGTCAGCTTTCATTATAGCCTTTACAATAACTTCCATTGTATATTTTAATTTTAGCTAAGCATAGAGATTGTCAGACATGGCACTTACTTCTTTTAATCTCCTAATTGTTTCTGTCTGATCATCCACTATTTTGTTTTTAATTCTTATAGTGTCACTGTCCTGTTCCTTTTGCTTTTTTAACATCTCAATCTCGTTTGTCAGAACTTCAATTTTTGCCTCCAGTTTTCCACGATCTTGAGCAAGATGAGCTCCTAGATAAAAAAAGGATATTCACAGCACTCATTTTACAGATGACTTTAAGATGTATGATGTCAGGGAAGGGGAGGACGCAAAGGTAACAACCACCTTAAAAAACAAAACATGACAGTTTTGAAGAACTGAGGTTCTGTATTTTATACTTTGAAAACTTCTCTGATAAAAGTCAACCATAAATCTTACAGACCCAGCCAAGCTTCAAGAACCCACAAGGTTGTGCTGAATCACTTGAGTTCAGGGAAAAAAAAAACCACATTAAAACAGACCAAGCCATTTTTCCCTTTGTATTTAACACTTTTTAAAAAGATAATATATTGAAACTTTCACATTACACTTATCTGATAGTGTTGTGTAATGCTACTTTTCTATTTACAAATCCTTGTTTTCCTAGCTTTATATTTAAAAGTTTTTTTGTATAATATCATGATATTTTAACATTTTAGGGAAACAGATACACTATTTGCAGCTAACTGCCGTTATAGTTCCTGTAATGGCCTGCAAGCTACAGAAGATCTGTTTTTGCATATCATCTTTGCAAGTGGGTAAGATCAACAAGGCATCCAGACATCTCATTGGGATTATAACTAAACTGGAGTGTTTATTTGAAAGGTATGACATTAAACACCACCATTTGTTCTGCAAACGATAAAAAAATACGTTATTTTACCCTGTTGTGCCAACTCCTGCCCCCATATTTTTCTTTCCATTTTTAACCCATCAATCACAGATTCCTGAGCTGTCAGCTGAGAAGTAAGTTTTCCATTTTCCTTTTTCAGAAGTTCAACTTGAACAGCCTTCTGTTTGTTCTCCTCTGTCACAGTTTCAAGTTCTTCAGTTCGACACTGTATAAATAAACATTGGAAAAAAAGGTGGCAAGATCCTTTGAGTATTCAAAATTTCAAGTCAATACTGAGCAGCTAGGAAAGTAATACTTATATACAGCAAATTAATTTAATTGAGGAATATTCTAGTAGTATACTGTAAAGAGATGCAGATGGAACCCTGTAATGAAACATAAAAGTTTGCTTCAAATAGACACACTTAAATCCCAGAAAACTGCAAATCATGATTCCTAAATAGCCACGTTAACCTATCATTATAAAAACCTGTTTAGAATTATAAATGCACAAATAAAAAAAAATTTATTAAATCGAGATACTAAAAAACAAATCAAAAGAAAACAGATGGTGTGATGCACTTCCACTTCCCATGATAAAGATCTGTCTTCAGTTATGCAGGCTACTTTTTCTTAGAGATTACAGCTGTTTAATATAGCTATTTTTAAAACTTTATTTTTTGGCAGCATCACCAGCTGGTAGAATCCTATACTATACAGCAACACAATATTTGGACACCCCAACAGCAACATGTACGGGGGAGATAAGAAACAGCTGTGCCATGGTCCTAGTGCACAGAAGTTTTATGATAAAAGATGTACTGCATACATATACAGAGTGAGTCACACAGCAGTTCAACAGTTACGTTCCTAAGATTTTAAAGGGTTGCTTATGGAAAATATAGTACTATCATGTGTACCATAAGGTAATCAGTAGTGTAAGATAAAGCTACTGTGCCCACAGTATTTAGCATTACAATTAGCAGATAATGATTAACACTGCCAATTTTATGCAACTCGAATATTAAGCTGCTAAGAAATACACTTGATTTCTTGTCCAGTTTCATTTTCACTTCCCATACAGTGACCACTACAGAATTATATTCCATTCCTTTGAACTTAAAACATATCTGAGTTATTAATGTAGGTTTTTAAATCTCACTTTAGAGTGACCACTTCATTACATACAAACTGCTAGCGCTTACAAGGGAAGGAGCGCGCTTCTGAAAATACGAGTAAGTGTACATTTTGCTATATGGGCAGCAGTGTTTGTGAGAAATAGAAGCGCAAGATGCAAGAATAAAGGCTGATATGGAGAACTAGGTTTTAGTGCAACAGTAAACGTATGTTTCAGTCCATCTACCCTGTATAGTACTTTAATAGATGAAATATTACAAAAAAAAAAAATCATACATGTAGTTGAAATATTTCGAAACAAGTACCTTCAGGTTTGCTGCAGCTTCTTCATTTGACTTGGTTAATTCTGCAATCTTTGCTTTCTGTTCTTTCACTATACTTGTCAGGTCTTGAATCAGACATGTCATCTCTTTCTCCTTTTGTTCAAATTCATAGAGGGCTCGTTTATGTTCAACTAGATCAGCAGAAGCATTTTCAAAACCCTCTTTCACCTGAAGTTTTATAAGACAATACTTGAAAAATGTGAACATTTGGAAAAAGTGTGTATACAGTATACATACCTACAAGTGACATTTGAATTGTAAAATAAAGGAAGAAACACAAGTTCATCAAGAGCATGTGAATTAGTGACTATGTGAAACTGGTTTTCTACCAGTTTGTTGGTGATATTTCAACTTAAACAACTGGTTCTGCTCAGCTACAAATGTGAAAAAAATCAAAACCAAAACAATTTTATTTCACTTATTTCTATGGCAAGTGTTCACATTATTTTATATGTTATCTAAGGAATTTAGTAAGCAAGTTCTGAATTTGAATTTCAAAATGCATACCCAAAATTCAATTTTGAAACGTTAAACAGAGCATTGTATTATTAAATACACTAGTATATATCTAACCATAACCTTTCCAAAACAGAAGAGTTTTTACAATTGAATATATTGTAATGGCTCAACATCTTTTAAAAAGAAATGTATACCATCAGACAGAAGTTTTTCTAATTTCTTTTATCTTTTACTTATGAGCAAAAATGTTGTGTCTTTTGAGTGTTGACTTTGCAACTGGCGTCTATGTTCTAATCATGGATATTTCAAAGCTTACTACCAGTCTTTTTTTAGATAAATCCTAGAAACAAAGACCTTAAGAGTCAAAAAACCCCAAACCAAACCCAACCCAAAACCTCAAATCCAGCACATATAAGAGAATTACAAGTCTACCTCGTCTGAGATGAAATGTCTTAATCTTACCTCTTTAAACCTTTTTGCTTCAATAGTTAAAGCTAGACGAAATTCATCTTCCAACTCTTTGTACTTCTGGTTTAAGGTATCAATTTTCTCCTGAAATTCTTTAACACGCTGTTCATGCCTCTGCTCCTCTTTAGCCACTTCCTTTGACACAGCATCTTGAAATTCAGGTCCATTTAAAGCAACTCGGGTTTCAAGTTCTTTCCTGAAGTTACCAAATATATACTTGAGACAAGAACTGCAGTATCTCACAATGCTGTTTCAATTTATTTCCTTAGCATTTCTTAAAAGGAATAATAAATTACATAATAAATGGGATAAATTTCCTAGTTCCACAGACAGGATTTCAGTCCTAATGACAATGGCCCTGGGATGAGGAAAAGTGGGTGGACTACTGTTAAAACACCCAAAGGAGTAACCTTACTTTTTAATTTAAACTTCTGTATTCAATTGCTCTTTAGCTGTCAGCATTTGTTTGCTTTGCTGTTAACAAAGAACTGAAAGCGACACTGGAATCGGAGAACCGCACTGTACGGCCTGATACCCTTTTTTTGCAGTCATTCACTTCTTCCTTACCCAACAACTGTTGCTTCCTGCCCAATCCCAAAACCTGAAAAGCTGCAGCAACAAGTTCCAGGATAAGCCTCCCTTCTGTCTGGAAGCATCCCTATAGGAGAATGTTGAAGCAGAAGTTCCCTGTACTTTAAGACTATTCTGTTCATCTACTTTAAAGCACAAACACAAAACCTACCCACTATCCTTCACATTGTATCTTTTGGAGATCTGTGATAATAACTGGATGTTTCAAAACTGAGCTATCAGATTTGTCCCATCTAAATCTGCAGTTCTCTTCTTATCTGAATACATTTATCCCTGGAAATTTAGCAAGGGTACCCAGCTTGTTTTATTAATAACCTTCCTCACATACTAGTATACCACACATCACTTGTGGCTTTAGTTTGTACACAGACTAGACTGTATTAGCTAAACAGTACAAAACTTCTGTTAAAGTATTCTCAGAAAAAAAGAGGAAATTTTGAGAAGAGGAAAACAGCCAGCTACCACACAAGGTACTGTAGAAGCTGACTTGTTTTTGTTTTAAACACTTTATGTTATTGTAGTATATGCAGTATATGTAGTATATCTTCAAGCAATAAATCAAATGCAATTTTATTTTTATCTGAATTAAAAGTGTATTTTAAATAAAAAGTTCAGCCACGTAAAAAGGCAAGAGCCTATCAAATGACAAGCAGAATCACACAGTTGCCTAGAGGAATTTATAAGTCAAGAATCTACAGGATATGAAGATATTAATAAAATGAACAAGAAAACAGATGGGAAGACATTTACATTTTCACAAAGACAATCTTTCCCATCAAAAAATTAAAAACAAACCCAGAAACATGACATTTTGCAGAATACATTTAAACAAAACACATTTGCAACACTAGCATCTCTATTAATTTGTGAAAACAGAAGACTGCATACCTCTGCTCTTGCTCTCTTAATATAAGAAGTTCATGTAGTTGTTTTACCTTCTCTTTCTGTTGTCGAAAGGATATTCGAAGTAACTGTACTTCTCTTTCATTTGCTGATGCTTTAAGTTCTGCTTCTTGCACCTGCTTCATCTGTGCAGAATTCATAAAGACAGGAACAAGATTTTCTTACAACTGTAATCTATTCTTCTTGTCTTATACTAGAGTACAAAGGAACAGGTGCTTGATTCAAGTTTTATACGTGTCTACCTGGGCTATTTTGTTTATGGCATGCTCAACAACACTCAGGACTTTTCTTTAAAGAATTTTATGTTAAGTCCTAACCTAAGACAAAGGAAGGGTTTCAGTTCTTTTTGCGGGGGGAGTGTTTCTCAACATATTGTGTTACACTTGCAAAAATTTAAGACAAAATGTTTAAAATCAAGTTTTAGCCTAATTTACTACAACATACAAAAAAGCAACTTTGATGAAGAACCAAGGACATTTACTTAAGCGAAATAAGCGTAATGGCAGAACGAGTTCCTCAGTTACACAAACTGTTGTATTGCAATACTTGTATTGTTTCAAGCAAAACATTTTTAGAAATATTTAATATAAACTTTTTTTAACACTTCATTTTACAGAAATATCTATCTTCCTGAGTTTTACAATTTCAAGTTGATGAACAGAGCCGCCTTCTAAAGATTTTACAAAAATAGAGAATCGGTACCAACACTAGGTGGCACACTCCACTTTCTTCCATTTGATGCAAGCTTTGATGAATAATTCAGTTTTATAGTCTTAAGCTTTTTACATACAAAGTTGTTTTTTCTAACTCAAAAAGTAGCAAAAAAACCCATAAAGAAGTTATTATAAAGGTTCTAATTACTTGTGAAGTGGTAATTCAGAATCAAGACAATTCAGAAAGCTGCAACATGGAACATGAAACAGAAATAGCAGAAGTGATGTCCATGGAGATATTCTTACACCTAATCATTACCTACAACATTCATCTCAATCCTTTTGTGCTCAAGCAGTGAGCAGTAGCTAGTGTGTCAACCTGTCTTTCAAAGCAAAGGTTGTCCACATTCTGTACGTTCACAATTCTAGTATCTTTGCTTTTCAGAGTATCAAATCTGTAAACGGACAGCTCAAGATTGCTCTAAGTGTCAGTTATTTAATGGCAGAGCTAGAATGCAACAGAAACAACCCAGTTGACTTTCCCACTCTCACAAAAACCAAAATAACCCTAACCCCCACAAAAGACAAAGCCCCCACATCTCTTTCAGAATTCCATCACAAACTTGGCTTTTCAACAATCAAAATGAAAAATAAAAAAATTAAGAAACAGCTGTACAGTGTCCCACAAATATTGTTTTCAACATTTATCATCTCCTGCTATGTCCCTTAATACACATAAGTGCTGCTGCATGTTACAAGTTCCAGCTTAAGAATGTCAGACGTACCTAAAATTCATACAGCAACTTCAGTTGTATTAAAACTGTCGTGAAGCTTAAGTATGAAGCCAAGTTCTCATGTTCTACATGCTAAGCCTCTTCATAAATAACCTTTAGATGCAGTCTACTGTATTCCTATTGTTTTGTGGATGAAGCAGAAGCAATTTGCTCCTAAACTGAAGCGCTTAAAACCAAAGAATTCAAGTGATATTATATGAAAATTTAAAGACTGTCAGAAAATAGAGCACACATATAGATGCACAGTAACTTGTCTTGGATCCCTTAAAGAAGTAATCTTTAAACAGTAACTATGGAGAGTAAACATAATTTACCACTGAAGTGTACTGTGAGAAAGCTCCATAAAATGTTACAGAATTTGTCAATCTTAGAGCTGATAAAATAAGCCAAAGGTGTATTAAATCTGAACATTGAAAAAAATAATTTAGTTTCTAGAAGATACTCATTTGAAACATAATTATTAACAAGTATTTTCTACAGGATCTTAAAGACAATAAGAAGAAGCATATTCCGTTAAAGTTTTGCGGTTAATAAAAACGATGCTGTTACTGTCAAGAGGTGGCTTATTTCTACAAACCCATTAAAGCAAAAATAAATACTCCATATAGCAGTAAGGGCTTTCCATTTGCATACAGAAAAAGCCAAGAAAAAAATAGTAAGAAAATGCAACCACTCTCCTCTAAATCACTGAATTTAGTACTTTTAAAACTCACAGGCAGATACCGGATCTAAGCCGAAGGTCACTCTTAGATCCTGAATAGTTCCAGGTAAGGAAGAAAAACGAAGAGCCACTCAGGTGCTGAAACAAGAGCCTAAAATAGAGGGTGGGTAATCCATAACTTGAAAGGCACGTGCAGTTTGGCTGTCATGGCACTCCCTGATTCTGTTCCTTTTCAGGGCACCCAGGCAACATGTCCTAGAGCATCATGCCCGTAGTTTAGAGACTTTTCAGCACAGACGTATCAGGATTCAGTTTCTCTAAGTGCATGCATTCAGTGACATAGGAACTGGCTGATATAGGAATATAATTTGTATATATATATCTGTAGGAACAGATATTGGAGGACACAGCATTTGGACATTGAAAATTCAGCAATTTATTGAGTCAGAAATAGTCGCAGTATCTGGACCAGCATCTTGATCTTATATGTTCATACACTGAACAAAGTGCTTCTGACAACAAAAGTATCATTATATTCTCTAGCTGAAAAAACAAAACCAGAAAACTCCAAGCAAACAAACAAGCAAAAACCAGCCCAAAACAACCAGCATCTTTAAAATAAGCTCTTGGCAATTACTGTTTTGTTCTGGTTGCAATTAAAAGCATCTGACTCTCTAGATCAGTACAACAAACAGGACCATCAGATTTTCATCTAGCTAGTAAGATCGTTCTTGATTTAAGCAACATTTAAAAAAACCTGTCTTTGTTACTGTTCAGAAAATACCAACTCTCAGTTTTAAGTATATAGGATTTGTTCTCCTTTATCTTCAGGCCACATCACATGACATGCTTCCACTTATAAAAACCATTGAGAATTTAAACAGATGTTACTAAATACTACTGTGTAGAGAAAACTCAGATTCAAGACTTGTAAAATCTAGTGTTTCTTTATATCTAGGACTATAACAGACACCCTGTTGCTATCATATTATTTACTCATGCAAAATACATACCTCTATTGTTCGTTGCTGCAATCTCTGTGTCTCCATCTTGGATAGTGTTTCTTCTAAAGCTCGCATGGCCTTCTGATGTTCTGCTTCTTTATTTCTTGCCTGATTTAACTCATTAGTAAGTCTTTCAGTTTCACCTTTCAGCTGTTCGACATCTGCTTGCAGTCTTGCTTTAATATCTCTCTCTTTCAGTATCATTTCCTTTAATCTGAGAATAGATGCAATTAAATTGTTTTACAAATGTTTTAGTATTTAGTTTAATGCCTAAAACAATGACAAAAAGACATCAGTGTTGTAGCACTGTATCTTGTTCTTTGCTAAGTTTTAATACTTACACCACTGTAATATAAAACTGTTTAAAAATACATAGATTATTAGTGAAGTCATGTCAGGAACTTCATTTTAAAACAAACTAAGCTGGAGACAAACTCGTAGGTAGGTCTTAAAGAAAATGACATTCCAGTATCATTTCATTTTGTACAGAAGTCAAACACATAGTATCAATTAGTAATTTTTTTCTACAGAAAACTTTGAAATATCCTCAAATGTTCTATTTTTTTTGTACAATATGCAGTTTAAAAGAAAAGGAACACAATAAGCCACTTAGCCAAAATGGTAACAAATAGAGGTGGGAAGTGAACATAAGATGAAAAAAAAGGGGAAATAATCACAGTTAACTCAGAAAACACTTGGCTTGTTTATTCCTTACAAGAAAGAAAATGTGTGTTTGATAAATACAATGCAGTTAAGAAAAAGATAAAGCAGACACCTTCAATCGCGGGTGACAACAAACAATGCTGTTTTGAAGGGAGAATTTCTGGAAACAAGGATGTTGCTCAGAACCTAGGTTGATGATGGCAACTGACAGCAAGATATGCCAGGCCTGACCTGCACAACCTATTGTCTGCTGGCCAGCTCTGGCCCAACAGAAACATCTTTGTTCAAGTGCGCTACGTGGGAGAAGAAAAAACACTATATAGGTGAAAAGGGAGACTGGGAATCAGAAGCTAAAAGTATGATACAGGAGAGCTAATAGAGCTTGAGATGAAAGATAAAATACAATTATGATAAAGATTGCTTGGAAAGTTGCAGCTAGAAATGGCGGTAACTGACCTTATACTGTTCTGAGACAAGAACAAGACGAAAGCTATGAACCTACAGAAAAAATTTCATGAAGTAATACCATGAGAAGTTGTAGCACCACTACTTGATGCATCATTTTCCAAGTATATTGTTTAAAGCTGTTCTCAGTTCTTAAGCCCATAACTTGAATTGTCTTGAATAAAAAAAAAAACAACAAATCACAAATTCTTATCCTACAGCACTGTTTCCCTACCTGTCTGTAGTGTACACAGCCATACTCTGAATATTCTTTTCTTCTTTTGCATGTTTCTGTAGCTCTCTGACATGCTCTAACAGTTTCTTCTCTGCTTGCTCTGCTTTCCACCTCCTTTCCTTCTCCTGATCCAGTTCCTGAATCAGCACCTTAACAAGCATGTGGTAAGCATCAACTTACTAGGAAATATTCAAATGTAGCTAAAAATGACAAACAGCATTCATAATGGTAGAACAAGACTTTTCTTCTGTCATCCATGAATTCCAGAAAGTGCAAGTGACCAGGCCAACCCATCCCCCTAAAAGTAAAATTAAATAAATTCTCTTCCAGCTGAAACTACAAGAACTCCACTATTTTTTGATACTACCTACATGCAATTATTATAACCTCCAATGCTGAAGTTTCACCAGGTGACGTATGCTTGGTTTCAGGGGAAGACTTATGATATTTAACTTAAAATGATGCAAAACATACTCGGTATGTTGATTCCTCTGTCGCATTTGAATTAATTTCTTCTATTTTTTCTATATTGCTCTGCCTTCCAGTTAGTATTTCAGCTTTTCTTCCAACTACTTCCAAGTCCTGGGTATCTGATGATGAATTGAGACGAGATTCTCTCTGACTGGAGCGTGGGCACTTTGAGGAACTCTTCTTCTCTTCCCTGTAATAGCAGAACATCAAGGCATACTTAAGAATATGCAGAGTTCTGCATAGAAGTTGAATTGTACAGAATTCAAAACCATCCAGAAAATAATTTGCAAGCAGATCATAAAACAAACTGCTAAATTCAACTCTTCAGCTGTAGAGCTGCAGTGGCTGACTAAACTAATATATTTCAATTTATATGATTTTCTATTAATCACTTCTGATATTTACTTGATAAATCAAACAAATTACTATGGCATCCTCAGCTTAATCACAAAATAAATATGGACAGTGTCGTGGGTTAGGGCTGGGCCAGCCACTAACATGGACAGATGCTCTCTAACTCCCTCTTCCCCCCAAAATGGGAAGGAAAAAGGAACAAAGGAGAGAGACTTTTGGGTTAGAGAAGAAAAAACAACTAGAACAGCTTTAATGAAACAATAATAGAAATAATAGTGGAATGATAAAAGAACTATATACAACTATAGATAGTAGCCCGATATCAAACCTGACTCCCTCCCCCAATAGCAATCCCCCCTGATGCTGCAGAGCAGGAGGCACTGGGGAAGCCCCAGGCTCAGCGGCGGCAGGGGGATGGATACAGGGAGCTGGATTTGGGAACTCAGGATCCGGATCAAAAGCAGGAGGTCAGATGGAGTCCTCCCTGGACACCGGCCATTGCAGAAAAAGGGCAAAACTCTCGTGATCACTCGATTTATACTAAATATGACGTATATGGGATGGAATACTCTCGTTGGCTACCTGTCCTGTCTATTACGCCCCAGAGGTGCATCCTTTTACTTCCTTGTGACCCCTCTTACTACCCGGCACCCCCAGCGTGGCACACAAGAGCCAGCAGTGGCCTTGGTCACTATAGGAATAACCACTGTCTGCAAAAACATGCTGCTGACTTCAGAAAGTGCAGCCTTTTAGAAGAGACTAAACTGAAATGTAAAAATCACTAAACAGGTTTTTAGCTAAACCCAGGACAGACAGTTACATTCTTGACCATTGTTCTGACACCATAAATCTTTTTTATTTTTTATTGACTCAGTTCTCCTGTCTGTGCAGAATTCTTCTGTCACCACAATTCAAAGCAAATATAAGCTGTTAGAATTCTGAAAGTGTTTGTTTTGGAACCTTCAGTTCAATGTCCTTTTCACCTAAGGACAGCAAATTAGTCATATAGGGAAATCACTAAGTGAAGCCTCAGTAGTCAGTAATTTCTAGAGCATTACCACTTTCAGCAAAATGTTTCAAGTCAAATTACGTTCACTTTGCCAATTTCATCTTAATTCATTTCAGCTTTATATGACAACCATTGGGATACCTGTCAGTTATTTCACTTTTAAGATGACTCGCATGACGCCTAGTAGTTGGGGGAGTCCTACGGTAAGTAGGGAACTTGCTTCTTTTTGCAACCTTTCTGTTCTCTTTCCCACTCTCATTTTCACTCTCAGAAGTTGGATCGGTGTCTCTCTTAGCTTTGAGAACATTTGGAGGAGCTTCTCTTCTTGAAGTATCAGACACCTAAAAACAGATTGTAAAAATGTATAGATGAAAAAACAATTTCTAACATTTATTCAGGTGCTATTTTTAAAAAGTTCACACCAGATAATTTTGAAAGAAAAGTAAATAATTGCTTCTACACAACCCTTTGCCTCCTTGCTGAAACACTTTGTTGTTTTAAAGATTTTGAAATATCTTAAGTTTGGGAAAATCCTCAGGCACAGAAGCCTGGTGCAAAATGTAAAACAAATACAGCACTTAAAACCAAAAGCCTTGCAAACGTGGAGTGTACGCTACAAACTGTTACAAAACCACATGTGACAAACCATATCGGGCCAACTTGACCTACTAGCAAGATTAATTTTCTCCAAATCTATAATCCAGATATTCTGCTGCACTTCATATTTTACTCTGGTTCTATTACTATGTTGATGGCTTCCGGGTAAAAAACCAGAAAACAATTTTCTAATATAATATGATCAGATAGTTCTCTTAGTCTCATGCACTACAGGTTTTATTCAGTTTTTGCGATTCAAAGTGCAATCTTCAGTTTTAAAGACTTGTTTTGATTTTATTCCCAGTTTCTCAAAATTAATACGCAATAGCATGAAGTCAGCATATACCAGCAGAAACGCTCCAGTCTGTCCCAGCAAAAAGGTACACCTCATTTTATAAACAAAATCGTCTGTGTAATCGGAGAAAAAAAAAAATTACCTTTTCCAGTATCTGTGAAACTTGTTCTTCAATTTTTTTAATCCTCATCTCATTGTATATTTTATCAAGTTCAGCCTTTTCTGGTTCTGAAGATGAGACAAGCTCCGTAGAGGAGCTGATGGCACTTTGTACTGGTATTCTCACACGCTGACGAAAATGAGCTAATGCCTGGTCGATATGTGGGGTCACCACTGGTAAGGTGACACAGTTCTATCAAAGGGAAAGACAACCCTTTTAACATTAATGAGATGCATGCAATATAAAAATAAAGTCTGTAAATTTTAAAATTAGTACACACAAACTATGGCACCTGACTGCAGGATGAGGGGCGTCCAGGTGAAACCAAAGAGCCCAAAATGTCTTCTAAACATTGCAAATCTGAAGAGTTTTCTTCTGCTGCGTCCACTGGTTCACCAGAAGTATTTCTTCCATCTAGAACTGTTAGCTGGGGCAATGCTTGAAGAACAGTTGCTCTATAACCTTGAGGAGAAGACCATATTTAAAATTGAAATTCATTTCCAGAGGAGATTTCTAGTGTATTTTAGGTAGTCTGTCACCTTAAAATATCCATTGCATTTTTAACAGCAAACAAAACAAAACAAAAAGTAGCAAGTTATAAGCTTCTCACCTTTTCCCACCCATAAGGCTTTCAACAGACAACATAACAAAACAAGCTAACTTGGAAGCTGCCTGCCTAGTCCTGCTCTACACAAGGATTTCCCCACTGCCATCAGCACACTGCAGTTAACCTTTTAATATCCGTCTGCTGCACCAAAACAGTTTTATCGAGTGCAAGGACAGGGAAACATAGTGGAAAGGCAAGTTATGCAAGGACTTAGGCAACTCCACCCTTTTTCAGTGAATGAAACAAGGCATTAGGAAACCAGAAGTTAAATTTCTTTAAATTAATACAATTTGGGCTTCTGAATACTGTGGTTTCGAAAGTAAGTGTCATCAAAAAGGTAGATATGAAGACATATGTAAACACTTGGAGAAGAAAACTGGTAAAATTTTTGAAGTTATCCAGATAACTTTAATATTCCTGTTACTGTTTCCATGGTGCCTAAATACATTTGTAAAACAATCACAGATGCTTATGAAAACGTTACTAAAGACCTTATTTGTGTTCCCTCAATTATCTCTGAGGTTTCTAAGATCTGTACTCACACCACATCTGTATCAGTTATGTGTTCATCTCATTATTTTCTATTACTGTAATTCCTGATGTTCTGCTCGTTGCAATGAAATTTTGTTTCAGCTGTCCCAAAACTATCAACACTCCACTTCTACCTTCTGGTAGATTTCCCCCTCTTACATACAAAATGAACAAAACCTGGGATACTACAGTTTAACTTGTTTGAATACAACGTGTAACTTTTAAACAGGCCGAAAAACCTTCCTCCCAGACAGGAAGCTCTAGGCAATGCAGCTGAAGGTGTGTCCCGGGTTTGAGCTAAAATCCAGTCCTATTTAGTGATATTTTTACTTTTCAGTTTAGTGTCTTCTAAAAGGCTGCATTTTCTGAAGTTCACAGCATGTTTTTGCAGACAGTGTGTGCTACCAGCAGTGATATCACCTGATGTTTACAGTTACTGCCTGGGACTGGGATGCAGACAGGCTCTTGCTTCTATTTATTCCTGTAGTGACCAAGGCCACTGCTGGCTCTTGTGTGCCACGCTGGGGGTGTCGGGTAGTAAGAGGAGTCACAAGGAAGTAAAAGGTTGCACCTCTGGGAGGGTAATAGACAGGACAGGTGATTGACAAGAGTATTCCATCCCATATATGTCATATTTAGTATAAATCGAGGGATCACGAGAGTTTTGCCCTTTTTCTGCAATGGCCGGTGTCCAGGGATGACGCCATCTGACCTCCTGCTTTTGATCCGGATCCTGAGTTCCTGAATCCAGCTCCCTGTATTCAGCTCCCCGCCACTGCCACTGAGCCTGGGGTTTCCCCAGTGCCTCCTGTTCTGCAGCATCAGTGGTGATTGCTATTGGGGGAGGGAGTCAGGTTTGATATCGGGCTATTATCTATAGTTGTATATAGTTCTTTACTTTTATCATTCCACTATTAATTTCTATTATTATTGTTTCATTAAAGCTGTTCTAGTTGTTTTTTCTTCTCTAACCCGAAAGTCTCTCTGCTTCATTCCCTTTTCCTTCCCATTTGTGGGGGGCAAGAGGGCGTTAGAGAGCATCTGTCCATGTTAGAGGACAGCCCAGCCCTAACCCACGACAAGGTGATGGATTCACATGCATTTTTCCAACTCGTACCCATGCCTCCTAGTGAAACACCTGCTTATTATTTTGATGAAAATGCTAATTACTACAGAGCAGTTGTGAGTCTGTCACTGCTTACTAAAGCTCTGAGACAAGGAGGAAAGACTAACAGTTATTAGAGTGCTTAGTACTGATCTTCCTCTTGTGGTCTCTGTCAGTAAACAACTGTCTACTTTCTATGCCTGCCTGCCTTCTCTATGGTCCAATATCTCTATGCACATTCTTCAAATACTCTACCCACTCACTTTATAGTATCACTACTGTTTTCCTCCTATTTCTGCAATGCTTTCTCTTCCCATCACTATCTCCTGCCTTAACCTAAAATAGTAGAAAAGTTGTGCTTTATCAAAGCATACAAAGTTACAATTTTGAGAATACAGATGGGGGGAAAACCCATTTTTTTTTTTAATGGAAAACAAATTAATTTCGACAGAATTTAGATTTCTGAAGGCCGGCCATTTTATGAATGAATTTGCAAGCTTCAGAACCTGGCTCGCAACCGTAAGGAAAACCAGCGACCTAACGCACACAACGCTTTCAGCTAACATGAGCTCCATACCTGCTGTGTGACAAACTGGATTGGCTTTTCCATTTTTTTTCAGAGTCAAACTTGTCAAACAGCGCAGCCCCTTTGTGCACTGAAGTAAGTGCTTAATATTGCTTATACGGTTGCCATGAAGGTCAATATGGCTAATCTTATGACTGGTTCCTTGAAGGCACTGAAATCCTGTAAATTTGAGAAAAGCCACAAAATAATGATTTCTGCTAGGATCTTAGACTACGGGGTTTCGAAGAAACAGCATATTGTTGAAAAATATCCAGTAAATAATATATCATAACTAGAAATGACATAACAACTTCTGCTCCATATCCTTGTCTATATACTAGCTGTATCAGCAGCTGTGGTACATTATCACAAAATACAACAGTTAAACTAGTTATGAGATCTAACCTTAAAGACATAGGTAAGTTTCTAACTATTAAGAAGCATGTAAAAATAAGCATTTTGCTTGAAGTTTCTTTTTATAACTCAGTTAATTAACAAAACTTTTACTCATGTTATTAATTTTCTTTAACAGTCTTCCCCAATTCTTAACCTTAAAATCTTAGAAGAAACAATCAACCATTTCAACAATTAGATTTAGAAGAGAACTTCCACATCACACCTAAAGTTTCCTTTTTATAGCACAAAACCTCAAGATACAAATCTTTCGGACGTATCTTCTGAGACTATTGCATTTCTCATTTTGGAAATAAGTCTGAAATGCTTGCTGTACTACTTTGTGAACAACCTCAGCTTCTCTGAATATAGGAGAATAAATTCCTGCTCAGCACAATCCCTGAAACTTGAAAGCAGAAAGCAGCAGTAGTTAATGCATTTTGTAACATTACTCAATTGGCTGAACTACTAAAAACTTCTAAAAATACACTTGGTCAAATTCTTCAAAATTAAACTGAATCAAATAATTTCTATTGGCATATGGCAAAGTCACTTACCAGAGAGATCGTGTATACGATTATACGACAAATTGAGTAGAGTTAAATTAAAGAGTTTTTCCAGTCCTAAACAAAATGAAGGAAAAAAGAAACAGTAGGATTTCAGAAAAACGCTTCACTTTCATAAAATCTACAGTTATAACTACCAATTATGACAATAAGCTATAATCATAGAATAAAATCAAATTTGCCTTCTAAAGTAAGGCATTTTACTATGATAAAGCTTACAGAGACTACATACTGTTTTTAAAATTTATATAATAATATATAGTTGGTAGCTCACACCGACTCCATATAACCTTAATTGTAGGCCTACTTTCCAGAAACAAGCTTTAACATAACTCTTAGAAAAGCTTCATGAACTGCCAAATGGACAGAAATATGTATTGCACACCCTCCACTTTCGTTATCAGGTTACAGGACAAGCTCAGGGTGCGCAGATTAGCCAGAGAACTCAGCCCCTCGATCCGGCGGATTTGGTTTGATG